AAGTAAGGGCTCCAGCACTATAAGGCAACAGTGTTACCCATTCTACGGCATATATTTATATATATTTTTTGCACTACTTCATAAAAACAATGAGAGGTTTCAAACAATAATGTCACTGTTTATGTGTCAATTATTTAGCACAGACTTTGGGATGTTCCTGGGGATATGTGATTGCGGATGTACTGTAAAGTTTAAATTCAAATTGACAGATCACTGGCTGAGATGATGACAACACAAAGGGAACATCAAGGTAAAAGAATGGCATATGTTTTTTAGATTATATGAGATGAGAATCTGAAATCTTGATTGCACCGCTGTCATTGACCTCTATCAAACTCTTGCTAGTTCTGCTATGAAAATCCTGTGGACCCTTGCAGATGTTGTCAGCTGTCTGAAATTTCATTTCAGGGTGTCATAGGTATCTTGACAGGACAGGGCCAATCAACGATCTACCCATTTGATTATGTCTGCACTGACAGAAAAGGCCAATTATTATTAATCAGATAGAGCAACAAAACGTAGAACTTTGTTATGCTGCATTTTCCAGAATACTCAGAGACACTGTTTGCATACAAAATGCCAACAGACAAAACAAGTAACTACAGAATTTGAACCTGCTGGACAGTGGCTGGCCTCCCTTGCTATGGTGTTTAGTACAGTAAAAACATTCTGCTTCCCCAGTGTGGCTGTCTTATCTATTTTATTTTTCTATTCTTCTCTGACTTTCAGTCATCTGAATATTTAATGTTTTATTGCTGATATTAATCATGAGATATTTCTAATTCTCATTTGTGGATTCTAACAATAAGGAGTACCCAACACTACCACTCTGAAACTCATCCTGCATTCTATTCTGTGTTGTCTAAAGAGCATTTATAAAACATTTAAAGTGGAGAGTGAATTTGAAATGCAAAGCAAACAAACTGTCTTTTTGATTGCATTCACCGTTGCATGAAAGTTTTTAATTAAAAAGGGGAGATATATTCTTTTTTGTTAGTTTTCTGTACTTCTGGCCCAGAGTATGTGGTATTTAATGTAATGTATGAAAACTAAACATTTTATTCATAGACAAAACCATTCTGGAAAAATAATGTTAGGGATATATTTCTTACACAGAAAATCATACTATAAGTAGTGATAAAAAATACAAATTAAAAGAAGAGTGACACATTAATCTGAATATTATTAGCTTTTAGGTAAAAGTAAATTGTTATATTACATTACCATAATTTTCATCCTTGCGAATGTTTTTATAATTTTCTTGTCAATAATGTAAATGATTTTATTACCCAGTTTAATACTGTAATTGAAAATGTTTGTTATATTTGATCTAAATATGTCTGGTATGTCCTGATATACTGTATTTATGTTTCAATTGATACATCAAACACCATTACACACCATTAATATATTAATTTATTGCTAGAATTACTTTTTCTTAACTCCCAGTTATCTATTAAAAAGGCACTTCAGTCTTCTCACTACAGAGGGAATATACTGAAGAAAAAGCAGCTCCTACTGATCCAAAGGGCTTCAAGATTATGTAGACATAGTTTTTCAATAGTCTAATGTTGCTCTTCTCTATGTCAAAAGATTGGGAATGTTGCATCTGCTGCTGATAGGCTGTAATGAGAAAAGGTAGAGTTAAAATACCATTGTCCCCTCCTGAACAGACCATCCACTTGGAACATTTTCACTGAGAGACATACATTCATGTCAAAGTTTGTCACTGTGTCTTCAATCTTTCACTTCAAAGTGTCTCAGGAAAACTATTCATGTCAGACTGCAGCCTACCATTACAGATTTCTTTCATGTGATATATACAAGCTATCGAAAGATCAGCATTGTGCAGTCATTATTGAAATATGTCAGGGCCATCACATCCATCCAGCTACACAACTGTCTTTATGTGTGTTTTCATTTCACATTATCATCATATTAATTAATAATTAGGCTATGTCAAGCCGTAAAACAATCCTGAAGGATTTATTGCAGTTTTATAAGGACCACACTACCATAGAAAATTCCTTCACATTTAATTATCCATGTCTTCAATGACACTAAATGTATTTAGCCCTAAGGTTTGAGAGACAAGAGAATTAAGACAAGCCTTCAAATAGTGAGATAAAGCTTGATAAATATACACACAAGTTTACAGTTAATTTAGAAATATCCCCGATTGGAGAAAATGGGCAAAGTGTGTGGTTTAGAAACAACGGATGCTGATTCTGCCACATGGAGACAGAGCGTATTTGGTTTTTGTGTATATTTTTTGCCAAGTTTATCAGACATGTTCTACAAAGGTCCATATTTATGATTTGAAAATGTTCATAATTTGTAGATGGAGGTGAAAACAGTACTGGTGACAAATAAAGCCAAAGCAACATGTAGATGAACGATTAAAACCATGGAGATGTAAAACAGGAAATGTGTGTCATCCCAAATGTTGTCCCAGATGACAAGTTAATTTGCATTATTTGAGTCCCTATTCCAAATAGCAACAGCTGCTAAGAATTTATATGTAGCCTGTAATAAAAAAAACCAAGTATTTCCTTTTGTTTGACCCATGAGATCAAACCGATTATGTTTTGAGTTCACAGACAATCTCTTTTAAAAAAGAAATAAAATGTCTACAGAAAGCTACTGATGGATGTGTAGTACTCTGTACAACAAATCTTAAACATTAAAATACACATACCTGTAAGATAAGCAAAAGCAACTTATAACTGAAAAAGTTAACATGATGAGTTACTGATATTGAAATACAGATTCTATGTGAAAGTTCTCATAAGATGAGACTTTATTGATCCCGAAGGGAAATTGATGAAACCATGAATCAAAGTAGTTTCCCAAGTTTAAAAAAAAGGAAAGGAAAAATAAGGAAAACTGTGATTTGCAAGTTACAACAAAAACTACATTTATAACCATAAAAAACAGTAGTTACTTTGTAATCATGTTACTATACATGTATATTGCTATTTTGATTTTAAAAAACTTTATTATTTTGAAATAATTTATACATAAAACCTGTCTAATCAGTAGAAAGGAGAATGATTTCTCAGACCCAGGTCATCGGATTTCGCATTACAGCTGACCACAATGTCCTGAACTTCAAGTGCCCGACTTCATGCACACTGGTTTTGACAAGGCTGGAGGCACACTCAGCACTGAGAGCTTGTGAAGCTTGAGAAACCCTTTTAACATTTGAAGGTCATTCATTTTAATGAAAGCTTGGATTCAAAGAACGTCAAGTAGTTTATTTGACTGCATCTCTGTGTACAGATTCAATCTTTCCGGCCAAACCTCTTTCCCCTAATAACTGAAAACATCTTGACGTCCATTTCATATTGTTCCTGCTGCCATAAAAATATTTCCGCAGACTAAAAGTTCCTATTAACTGTTTAAGAAACAACAGTCTCCATTTTTATGACATTCTAACATACAAACAAAAAGGAATCACTGCATTGCCAGATTGTTAAATGAAAGCTGTATGAAACTGTAGTCCTACACTGTAAATACTTCTGTGGGGATTTTGAGACAGATGGCTAAAGATTATTTACTCGTTTCCTTTGCCCTGGTTTCTCTGCCCCTACAGGTGTGTCTTAACCTTACTTTACAGTTTATGAAGTGTCCCACATATCTTTTTTCTAGGAATCTATGAACATGTACTGATTAACTTTTATACTGTACTTACTGTAGTAACAATTGTTGAATGAGAATCACCGTCTTACATCAAAGCAAACTAATGTTTTGCATTCTGGCATCAAGTTAAGCCGTAAAAAAAGGGGCCCGAACTACAGATGAATCACATTCCATATTACACCAATAAACATTATACTGTATAAAGATGAAACTTTACATAAAAACCAAAGAGGAAAAAAAATAAATTGCATTACATACATAAGAAATGCTACATGGCGATTTCTTTTTATGAAACCACATACTGTACTGCACTAATGTGCAACTAAATTTAACTTTTATAATTTCAGACATTTTCTACAATTTTGTACACCTAACATAATAATGTGTAAGTAAGCACTGTATAAACAAATGTATATGATAGTGGAAGCTCATAACTCACAGTATTCATGCAACTTAACAGGTTTACTTTATAGGTTTAAAGCAGATAACATGAAGTACAGAATGTGAGGTCTGGCATAAGTTATTTGGATCAGTGGTTACAAGAGTGATCAGACAAGGTTTTCTGCACATAATAGTAGTCTGTCCTTTCAGCTTAAAGTAATATCCAGAAACAGCAGATTATTACAGATCAAAAGCACCATGTATTATTTCCTTCCTCTGTCTAGACAACAATATTATCCACCAGTAACAATCACAATATGAAGAAACACTGGCAGCAAATTATTACTGCCTGTATTTTTTGGGGAGTACACTATTTCAGACTGAAAATGTTTTTGTTTTTCTAATTGTACAGAAGTAACATCAAAATCGTCATTTCAGTTAGTCTATTTTCCACTTTGCACATGCCAGTTATGTATGTAACATTTCTGGCAGCGATAAATCATGACTAATTTTAAAGACTACGTTGCTCATAACAACTAGATATTCCAATATGATCTTTACATATTATTAAAAATGTTCTTTGTCAATTTGTTGCAAAGGGCTTTGTCAGGCTTTATAACAGTATTTTGAGGAGTTTTAAAGGGGTGTGAATTTAAACTATTGCAATGGACATGATGACTCATATTCTGTGATAAGATGTATTTCATCAATATTGTTGTGCCATGTTGCTGCTAAGGGGAGATAATTGGATATTTATTTAATCTGATACTCATTTCACACTTGCTGGCAGAGAAAAGCCAAACTCTACAAAAAGCTACAAAAGCTGTTTTGGAAGGCCACTCTGGAAAGCTACTGGGCTGGAGTTTCTAAAAGCTTTTTATCCAAGACAAGCTCTCTAATGGTTTCTTAAATGTTTAAGGATAAAAATAGACTTCTGTAGATGGAGCACAAAAAGAACACAAACTTTGGAGGAGATGGAAGGTTAATTTATGGGTGATTTTATTTTCTTTTTCAAAATGACCAAGTTCTACCAAGACATAGTTAAAATTGTAATTGATACACAAACTAGCATAACTTTTTTAAAACACACAGTATTGTGCTGGATTCTTGATATCAGCATTTTTTGTTCTGAAGTGGATAGGTCACAATATTAACAGAAATCTTGGATGTACCATATTAAGTTGCAAATAATTCCATTGTAATAGGAGGTCACTTGTGTCATTTTCCCCTCCCTTTCATTCATCCATGCCATTATTGGTATGTTTTCTGTATTGTACAGCACTTATATATTGTAGTTGACCATATGAAATTAAATCTTCATGTTCTCCATTTCGAATGAAGAATCACTGCCATGTTCAAAATAATAAAAAACACATGATTTGTCTAATTTCTTAATTTTCTTTTTAATTTAGGAAAAATCAAGTTGTCTCACCTTGAACCTTTCTTATGTTCTTATGAAGGTCATTGACTGATATAAATAAAATGTCCTGATGTGAACCTATGGTTTACTTAAGAATCAAAACATTTAAATTGCCAGGACATCACACATACCTGTGTTTATTAGTGCCAAGCACATTCTCATGAAGGAATCAGTATTGTTTAAGATAGCAAAATTCCATTAATATATTTATGCCTTCTCTTGTTTGAACTACCTTATTTACATGAAAGTCAATACTGTCTGTTTTATTCTACAATTTAACAGCTTGTCTGACATTGCAGCCCAAGTCCTTCCCTGTCCACACTGTCACCTGGAAGGATCGCTCTGACGGCCAGGGGCTGCAGGCTTTTTCTGGAATGTATCCCAGTATGAGTGATCCTCCTCAGTTAAAGGAATCGCTCCAGACACGAGCTCACTGAAGGTCAACACGGTCAACTTTGGGGGCACTGGAGTGGAAAATGCCGAGGAACAATCCTGAGAAAAAGACAACCAGTTTTATTTGAACTTGGAACGCAGCGCAGCATGAACCATCACAAATACAGCACTACTGAATTTTCATATTTTTTCTATTCACATCATGAATGAGTGCATGCGGACAATGAGTACAATTAATTTAATTAATAGAAATGAGCAGGAACAGTAAGACATCCCTAAATGGAGTCGGATCTCCACAGGAAAAGTCACCATTGCAAATGGGTCTTTTGCTCAAGATTGGGTCTTACTTGGATTAAAACTATCCTGAACCAAAATGATTCCTTAATCAAATTAAAAAAAAATTGAATCTTATTTAATTATATTGAACATTATTAGGTAAATGTAAAGGTATCTTACAACATTCGGTGTAGTCCCTCTTGTATCCGGTTTCCCCAGTGCAACTGCCACATGATGTTCAGTGTCTAACAAGCTCTCCTATTAAGAAAACATGTTCTTATTTTCCAGTTAAGGCCTGGGTCATTCAAGAGAAGAAAAAAACCCACAAACCACAAATCTGCCTCAGGCTAACTTTCCCTTGAGCTAAAAGCAGACAATGCATGAATCCCCTAAATTTCCTTTGTCCTTAATAGGGTGTTAACACACCAATGACCTCATGCTCGATTGCCTGTGCATTTTATTTTTCAATCATCCCCTATGTTTACTTCCTGTGTTGTGAAAAGGATTATGTTGGCCTATTTCCAAAGAATTTGTAGCTTCCTATTATCTATTTCTCTGTAATTTAAATCTGAAAGCACATTAAATGCACTTGGACTGTGAGACTTCCTTAGAAACAAGTTTTTATTTTATGCATGCACTGCTTGATAAAACTACTGGATCTCACCAATCCCTTGGAGGAAACACTTTTTCAGAGGGTCGTGCTCATATATGATTATATGCTGATAAGTTAATTAAGATGAGTTAAGGGACTTAGTACAGCTTAATAATTACAGACCATCACATTTAAAAAGGTGACATGTAACAGAAAAAAACTTATTTCTGAACTGAGCCCTTATCCTTGTTGATCCTGAATTTCATAATTAATTAAGATAATTTTCTTTGACGTATAACTGGTGTGAAAGCAATTCTTCGTACACAAAATAGTGCTGGCAGGTCATTTATCTACTGAAAATTAATGAAAGGAACTAATTTTAACTTATTTTAACACCATCCACTCCACATGATATATAAAACTTACTGTATGCTCCAGAAGGTTATCATGTTTGGAGAAGCTAACGTTAGAAAGACGTCATTTGTGTAATTTATATGGACTTTTCCATTGCAATATTTTAACAAAATTCTTCAGACATTCAATTAGTAAACTGTGCTGTCTTAACTGCTACACGCAACAAACTGATTAAACACGATATTACAACACCAAAACCTTCTAATTGTGCAACATATTTCATTCTTTGAAAACAGTTCGGCTTAGAGAAATTCTTTCGGTTTGCGTATCTGTGTGGTCTACTGACATGCTCACTCCACGGGCCAAAGCTGCTATGAAATCTGAAGGACATGCTGTGGGTGCTGTCATTTATGAATATGACTATAGGTTGCTCCTGTGTCCCCCCATTATTAATTCTGAACATTGTCAGCAAAATGACCATGTGATGTTACGCAGTGTCATTGCAAATAATTTCCTCCAGGACTCCACCAGCAACCCCTGTGGCAATCCTTTCAAGAAGAGGTTTTATTTTACAGTATTGATACATATGCAACATTTGAGATCTATCATTCCTTTATTTATTCATTCATTTTTAATGGGCCTACCGAATTCCTCAATTTGCTAGCATATAAGTTCTTAAATCTAAAGACAATTATTCAACTGCATAGCTACAGCTTAATTTGAAAAAGGTGAAAAAGAATTTCCTTTACGCAATCATAATAACTCTTAAAGATGCTCTTGGAGGGGAAAAAAAAACTTACAGCAGTATCAAATTCCTTGGAAATAGAAGATAAAATTGACGTATATTTTGCAAGTATACAAGACAGAAGTTAAAATCTAGAATGGAAAGACTACAAAGAGAGAAATTCTTAACAACAGCAAATAAAACATCCCAATTGATAGTAGAACATGATAATCAGAGGGATATTGCAGTCAGTTCCTGACTTCATACAGTCTCTTTGAATAAAAAGAGTGCTTTCATTTAATCAGGGTGTCTGATATAACAATTCCAGTGATGTTTAATTGAACAGACTTGACAGATAAATGTATTATTCTGATTTGTGTGTCACAAACAGGGGTGTGAGCTGAACGTCTCAGGGCAGCAGCATCTGTGGCCACTGCTGATTTTCGAACCAATTATCAGATGTCATCTGGTGGGATTTTTCTTATTTCACTCTCACAACTGGGAAAAGCATGTATAGTCCCTCTTCACCGGTCTCTGAGCCCTAGATGTCACACACTGCAACAGATCTGCCCACAGAAGTGGAGCAGGGCTCATGTCTGAAGAGTAGGGCATTTGCACCTCAACAATAACAAGAGGTTGTTGAAATTTAGGGTAAGGAATGTGTTTCATTGTGCCCGATTATCTTTTGTTTCTGTAAACTACTGAAACACAAAGCTGTTGATAATGAGTTTGTGTTGAAAGTCTGGGGGAGTGGGGGGTGACAAACGAAGATTTTAAACCATCAAACTGTGCCCATAAACACTCCCAACGCCCTTCACTTAACACCTGCTTAATTTCACCCACTAATCTGATACTATTTCAATATCGCACTATTCAGTGCTGTTCCATATGATCCTTTCACCCACTGGAATGTATATGGTTATTGAGTCTCCCCACCAATACTAACTAGACCTGACCAAATTCTGCAACTCCTCTCAGTATTCTTACCTGCTGCACTTCAATGTGACTTTTCCAAAAACCTTGAATAAGTATCTCAAGGGTAATTAAAAATTAGCAGAGGTTTCTAACCTTTAAGTGTGCTGGATAAGAACATAAGACAGAAGCCTGCAGATATTTTAATGTGCTTGCGTCTAGAGACTGCCAGTCACACGCAGCACAATTTCACCTCCTCACCTCAAAAACCCAGGCGTCGTCTTCTTCTGAATCCAGGCACATTCTCGTCCCTTTATATACTTTGCCCACCCTCAGCTGCAAAGGCGCCACGTGAAACTCCACTCTCTGCAGATTGAATCCCACTCCAGTCCCGATGGCTTTTATAAAACTCTCTTTTAAGGCCTGCAGAAAGGTGAACAGAAATCCTCAGCAGGTTTGTCCTGTTCTTTCCATTCCGCCCTACTCTGCATTTCAGACCGAGAAAAGGCGGCATTTCATTACCCAACGGGTTGGGGGTGTATGGAACAAGCTACCCAGCTATGTTGGGGAAGCAGATACCCTGGCTTCTTTCAAGAAATGGATGGATCAGATCCTTGGAGAAAACAATAATCAGCTAATCAGACATCCTGCATCTGCTTCACTGACCCAGAATTGTCAACAAGTACATACAGTAAATGAACTGGGAAGAGCAATAGAATATGTGGAATAGGGAATTTGGCTGAGTAACTGTGAGCTTGCTGGGTATTTTTCTTTTTGTGTTCTCTTCACACCATTTTGACCTGAAACCTGAAACCACTTGTCCTAAACATGAATTGGGTCCCAATATCCAGCCCTGAGCTTAATAATTCTCTAATTAGACTGTGAATGCTACCCCTAACCCTATCTGGGGTGTCAACTGAGCATTTCCACATTATATATATGAACTTCTCTAGGCATCAGATTTTGACATGTTCCCCAAACCAAAAAGAATGATTGGGAAACAATCAAGGCCATTGATCAAAGCTCATGCAAGAGAATGAGATTCAGAAATGCTTGGTTACAACTGTAGATCCGACCGACTCAGTTTCGGGATACAAGTACTGCGTGGTGCACCTCGTCATCCAGGCCCCACAGAGTTTCAGAAAAAAAATTCAGATAAGAGCATGAAACCACTTGTCCTAAACCCGAATTGGGTCCCAATATCCAGAGCTGAGCTTAAACATTGTCTAGTAATAGTGTGAATACTAACCCTAACCCTACCTGGGATGTCAACTGAGCATTTCCGTATTCTAGATATGTACTTCTCTAGCACCTTAGTCAGGCAAAATAAGGAGCTTCTCATGTCTACTTTCACATACAGTAAATGAATAGAGAAACTCTAATTTGTGCACTCAGAAATGAGTAAACTGTATATAAGTTAATGGACATACCCAGTGTCTGTAAAACATATGAAGCTGATCCCACTCATTTCCTGCTGATTTAATCACCTTCCATTCATGTTCAGTGAACTGCCTGGTCATAATCCGGAAGAAATCAGCAATTGTACTGCTGCCTGCAACAGATGCAAAAAATGTAAAAATAAAAAAAGTTCTGAACATAAGAGACGTAAAAATATTTAAAGTCAATTAACATATTTTTTCTCAAGAAATCGTTCCCCTTATTGAACTCATTAAAAAAGCAGGTTCATTTTTTTCAAATATTTACAGAACAATAGAGCAACAGCCCCACCTTGTGGTACAGAGAACAATAGTTTTATTTCCTTGAATCACGTTTTGTTTTTAATTTGTTGAAACGGTTTCAAATACAGGCTTTCAGCTGTAGAGAACGTTATATAAAACAGAATTTGATTGCAGCTTCAAGCTTAAGAAAGAAACACATTTAGCATTTTCTAAAGGCTTTAAAAATAACCAGGTTTTTCCACAGCTCCCTCCCTCATGTTGTACCACTTCAACAATCAATCAGATTGTCGACAGATTTAGAGATCGCTGTCTAGGGGTTACGTTGACGAAAAGCTAAATCAAAGCAAAGCAGCTTTGGCTAAATCTAAAAAGTTGACCCCGACTGCAACTTTGCAATGATCTGCTCGAGTTTTATATGAGTGGAGACAAACCTCATTATGCACATACCAGAAATCACGTGTACAATGAAACAACGGTAAACACAAAATAAAGCATGACATCTGCATGGTCTGTTCCAAGCTCTCGTTTTGTCATTGGAACATAAAATTACAAATACTTACAGTAAATGTACAGTATGGGTTTTTAGCACAGACAACTCAAAATCACACTTCAAAATAATACAAAGAACATACACAAAACAAACCAAGCCAGCACATATATAGTACTTCCACCACAGACTATGAAAGACTATCGGGAAGCTTTTGAATAGCCTCTTAAAATTCTTGTAATGAACTGCAATTTTAATTCAGGACACTTTTTATCACAAAGTTAGTTTCTTGCGTCAATGCCAACAGCTCGTGACCGAATACAGGCTTCTAAACCCCTGTAATCTTCATAAGCATTATAGATGACATAGTTTCACCTGGCAGTGTGGTCTTCATGACATCAATGCCAACCTGAAGACCTGACTCAGCAGCAAGAACTGCATAATCTCCTTGATGCGAGATATTAAAGCTGTACTTCACACAGGAGCTGGGAGCTGGATTGGCCAAAAACGGTTTTCCTTTGGCTGTTCTCTGTAGATTAATTTCATTCCACACAATCCCCATCTTCTCACTAATTAGTTTTCTAATCAGCAAGCGCCCAGCCTAGAAGAGATGTTCAGACAGCTACAGTCAGGTCTTGTGTAACTTAGTCTGCGTATCCAAGGGAAACAGGCATCTGACTTAATACATGATAAAAATATATTCTACAGTTCAGGTCATTCAGATCTTTGCCTTCACATTCCAACTCAAGAGCATTATTAAGCTGATTAACTGTACGTTAAGGGAGCAACACACACTGCCCAACTAATTTTTCCTGATTATTCAGTGTAGAAAACCTTAGACCACCCACCAGTGCTGCTCTGTCTAAACTGATTAAGCTCTGATTACCAAGTTAGCAGGTCTCATGCTGTGTGTGGAGCCCAAAGCATAAGAAACTCAGCTACTACCTGAGTAGCCAAATTTATTTGAGGTTAAATACTGATGCCATATCTTGATTGTGATCTAGCACCACAACAGGTGCATTAGGTAGAAGAGCATAACAAAATGTATCACGAGCACTGTGGGATAATTCTTCAGTAGCCGCCAACCAATTCTTTGCATATAAATACTGTCAAGGGCTCGGACAAAGCTGCTTTTCACATTAATAGGAAATGACTGGAAAGACTTCTGGGTTCCAGTAAAATGAAAAAAATAAATAAACTGAAATTTCCAACACTGCATGTAAGTGGAGGCCAAATCTTTTAGGTTCTAGATTTAAACCACTGAAATTCCCAGATGCCTACCACCCAAGAACAAAAGATACTAGCGACTAAAATTACACTCCAGGAGATACAGCAGCTTTAGGGGATATTAAATTGTACTAGTGGAATTGGCACAAAACCCCCTTTTGCATGAATCTTTCAGAGGTACTGTAGGTAAACATTACCATCGCAGATTTGGCGTCTTTGGCAAAGACAAACTGCCCGATTCGCTCTTTCTCCTCCAGCTGCACACAGCGAGCAGCAAACAACCACTCGGAGCGGCTCGGGGACCACGAAGCGCACCGAAATGCCCACCGAACACTTTCCATAGCAGTTAAAGGGAATAAACGAGAGTGGAAATGAAAAGGTTTGACTGCGTTAAATGCCAACACGCCGATCTGGAGTACGCCCCGACACACGCATGCATTGTGCAAAGTAACAGCAATGGCTAACGATGAACGTCAGCCATCACTTCAATTCGTCTAAAAAGGGTAAATACACATTTCACACAAAATATTATATTCAATTACTACTTTGCACAAAGTACAACCGCAAACCTTACTACAGGTACAGTACGGTGTCAGCCACCTCTATTTCTGCGGCCTAATAATATCTTCCATTCCAAAGTGATATTTGTCTCTCGCAATCAAAATATTATAACTACTATATACAATTTAGGTTGAACCACGTAAAAACCAGCAGCAAACTACAACAAATCGCCATTTCTGTGTCCGGAAGCACTCCTTCACTGTACCGGTAAAGGCCGAACAGAAATGACGTTAAGTCGTCAAAGTACTGAGCGACATCCGCTGGGGCGAATGGCGCAGGAAGACAGACTGTTTACCTGCCTGCGTGCAACCGGAGGTCCCTCCGCTGAAATCTTGACGGATGATGTGTGGATGAGGTTGTGTCTACATAACGTTCCGGTAAGTTATTAATTTGGCAAAGTAACGACAAGGGTTTATGCAGCCTATTTAATTTAGTTGCAGCATTGCAGTTCGCTGCATTTGGGCATTTCCCAGAGACGCTGTCAAAACAGAATTTGAAACTGGGATTACGGCACATGCCTATTCCATAAATTACCCTGCAGTTAATTAGCAACCATATAAATTATTTCATATCACGTCGGTGCCCTTTTTTAAAAAAAATGTTTTGGTTCACGTCAAATAACTGAACAATAAACGATACCAGTAATTATTATTGAAATCAAGGAACAATTAAAAAATCATGATCATGTTAGAACTTCATTGTATGCCTCTGGACCTGCTAAATGACAAATTATTATTTTTTTTTTCGTTTGAATACTGTTTCATTCCGTCGATGCGAGCGGTTGCACACTTAAAACACCATGTTCTACATTGTGATTGGGAAAATGAATGTGCAATGCTGCAGGGATCGCAGTTGCAGCAATATTTCAGTGATTTCTTTATTGAATGAATGGTAGTCAAGGACACAATCTGAAAGCAAGCTCTCAGTGCTGCACAGTAAATTACAGAAAACTTTTTTTCCAAAACGACGATGAGCATGTCGTAGATTACTCCAAACTGTATCACCTGTAGGAGTCGAGAATCTCAGATCCTTAAGGTCGATCTTTCATTTTGTTATAGAGTAAAATAGTATTCTAAGGATATTCGTCATTGTTTATCAGATCTTTGCAGTACATATATCTACTTCTGATACAAACAAAATTATGAAAGACAAAGGGGTGGAATTACTGTTATATTTTCTTATTGACTCTAATTTAATGTTGAAGAAGTACGGGACAGTATTTATTTCACAGTGATAAAGAAAATAGGAAATGTAATCACCCTACCTTAAACTGCTGATAAATGCTTATTTTTCTTCACTTTGACCTGTTTAGCTGTCAGGGAAAGTGATTACAGAAATTGTAGGGATTATAAAAGGAGTTAAATTCTGTTATTGTTCTATTGCAAATGTTCTAGCTAGAGTCTAATCTGATCTTTAATCAGAAAGATGGACCTTCACTGTAATTACAGCTTGTTTGAGTGGTTATACAGAACATGTCTATTTATATAACGTCTCTGTCTGATTCACTTGTTATGTTTCTTTTTTATTTAAGACACCTGGACTATCAGAAGCCGCAAGTGGAAAACTTTGTCTCCACTCCACTCCTAATTCTGTCATCTTCTGAGTCAGGCCTGTGCTCGTCGCACCAGACAATACTGGCCAGATAGCGCTTCCAAACGCCAAGCTGGATTTCCTTCAGATGAAGCAGCTGAAACGCAAAAGGAAGAGCAACTACAGTGTGAAGGAAACACAGACCTTAATCAGGGAAATCCGAAAGCGCAAGGACATACTCTTCTCCAAGCAGCAGAACACAGCCATTAACGAGCTGAAGAGGAGGGCATGGGATGAGGTGGCGGATTGCGTGAATGCTCTGGGAGAGGGCGAGCTGAGGACTGCCGTGGAGGTCAAGAGGAGGTACCTGGACTGGAGAGCGCTGATGAAAAGGAAGCAGATCAGAGCGGAGCTGGCTGACATAAAAAACGAGTTCAACCCTTCCTCCCCGGACGTCGAGAACTCTCTGAGCGGCGACCCGAGTGTGGATCTGGGTGGTTTTCCCAAGGATTCCAGTTGCGATTGGCAAGACCTCTCTGACCTGGGAGAGCCCAGCAGCCACCCTTCTTCAGGAATCAAAATGGAAGATGATGACCCCAGCAATTATAGGGTATAGTGTGTTTTTTTGGGTTAGAATCGACGGGTTACTTTGTGTTTGTCACGCTTGGGGAATTCAGGTTACAGACGGCTAGCGACATGACCCAGGGTTGAACCCAAGATACCTGGATCACTGAGCTACGCCTTGCACTCTACTGAGTGCCTCTACTGGTTGAACTACTTGGGAGCCTGGGGTATAGTGGTTTTTGTGTTGTTGTAAGTGCATGATGAGATTAGCCATTTGAAAGAGATTAGAGTAGAAGGTAATCAGGGACACTGTGCTGTAGAAGATGTCATTATTTGGTGATGTTAAATGAAGGTCCTGATGGGTGTACAGTATAATGTCACCCAAGTGGGTCCTGGGGCAGTTTAGTGGTGGATGATGTGGATCCTTTCTTGTGCTTTGAGATCCTTTTCAATAAAAAGCAGTGTACAAATGCTACCAATTTTCTCTCATAGCAGTTACATGCAAAGATCTAAATACAAACAATCCCTAAGTGGTGATTGGGTATCTTTGACTTAAAGTTTTTGCAGTTTTAGAAACTTTGTTTTCCTACCATTGTGTCTTTCAGTTGTCTCTCTGAGAGACGACGTTCGCATCGTTCGCGTTGTCGTTTACAAAGCTGTCCGCTTGGAGCATCTTTAAGCCGCGTATCTCAACGGTTTCACGAGGACGTTTTTCTGTTTTCGCAGCTGGAAGGGGAAGGTGAAGAGGGAGAGGAGGAGGAGGAGGATGAAGATGGTTTCCCCTCCCTCCTGCCAGACGTGGACAGGGAAGGCAGGGTGCCCGAGGTTTTTGCTCACATCGACGAGTTTGGGATGCTGAGCGCCACCAAGGGCGCGACCCGGGAACTGGGGGTAGGGGTTGGCGCGGCAGGAGCCGCTGACGGCACCAACCTGCTCATCGCCCTGGAGAAGCAGCGCCTCGAGCTGGAGAGGCACCGCCTGAACGTGGAGTCCGAGCGGCTCCAGGTCGAGAAGGAGCGGCTGCAGATCGAGAAGGACAAGCTGCGGCGGGTTGACATCGAGCACGAGCGCCTGCAGATGGAGAAGGAGCGGCTGCAGATCGAGAGGGAGAGGCTCAGGCTCCTCATGTTCCAGGCCGAGAGGCCCGCCAAGGACTGTGAGCTCCCACCGACGGACAGGAAGCCGTGGCAGCCCGTGGACCTGGAGTCCGAGAGACTGAAGCTGGAGAAGGAGCGCCTGCAGCTGGAAAAAGAGCGACTGCAGTTCTTCAAGTTCGAATCGGGGAGGCTGCAAATCGAAAAGGAGCGTTTTCAGGTGGAGAAGGAGAGGCTGCAGTTGCAGAAAGACGGACAGCAGCTGTCTCTTCACCAGGCCCACTAGACGGATGCGATCTTAACTACGAAAAAATAAAGGTCCTGGTTTTTTGTATGTGTTTCGTTCAAGAAAACATTTTCTGGATTTTTACAGGCATATTTTTTCAAGTTGCACTGTGCAATGAGGCTTTTGTTTCCTAACTGCTGTGTTAAATACAGTAACACTCCTCTATACATTGTTTATCTGTTCATTTGCAGATTTACTGCTGTTATTTTATACCAACGATTCCACTGCCCGATACTTCAAAATGCAGTACGTCGTACCGATGATTGAATCATATAACATAACCTTACTGAACTACATGTCGAATTGAAACGTAGCGTTTTATCTTAATTTTACTACTCTAATGCACGTGTATGTGTATTAACTCAATTCAGAAGACTATATTCAGTAGTCTTGTCCCAGGGGGACAATTGTCATACTGTATTTATGAATGTACAATGTACAGTGCATATGCAGAAGTGTCAACAGTTACAGAGTGTAATGTGTTAAATATTTTATGTGAAACAGCAATGGAAACTTTCAATATGGGGGGAAAAAATAATTTTGTGCATTTTTACTGTATTAAGGAAAAGATTAGTTAAACCATGATGCTTTTTATGGGAGAGTGTATACTGTATTTCTTAGTCCCAGTACTGACCATATCCTTTTACTTTAATCCTTGTGGTGAAAATCCTTTCAAGAATGCATCCCCAATGTATACTGGGGTATGACTGTATGAAAGAATTATACAGTGTCTAGTCCTTTATGGAACACTGTTTTAGCAACACTGTAATGTCAGATTGGTTCCCAAATAAATGCAACAGCATACATACAAAAAATGTTTTAATAGCTTGCAGTTCCCAAAACAGTCAGCGGAAGATGCATTTATGATGTGTCCATCATTTTTATCTACAAATAAAGATACATGTACTAGCTATTTGTGTAAATGTCCTGTATGCATCTGGGGGGTTATCATTTCAGAAGTTTAGTACTGTATGTGATATGTAGAAGAATCCGTCAACTCCTTTAAGTTTTTAAGAAGCACAATGTGGCAGTGAAAAGAATGCTTGAGGCTCAAGAGCATTTCTAAGTCCTTTTGTGAATACAGTTGTACAGCCTAAAGATTCATATTTTTATTCACCTTGTGGTATCCTGGAGCTACCATTTCTTCCTTTGTAGAGTCACAAAAACATTTAATGTTATGAGAGTACTGTGTGTATGTTCATTTGCCACTTCTTTTATCAAAAAGAGAATAAAAAATATACTGAGAACAAGCCAACTTGAGTGAGTCAAATGTTATCCGAGTTAAATAACCATTCTCAAAGCCAGTGTTGTAGCCTTGAACTTTTACCAAATTAGATTATAAATAAAACCTGCTTTGATTTTCTTTAAAACGTTTTTTTGTAACATGATTAAAAAAAAACAAAACAAAGAGTGAACTGTTGTTGATGAATTCGGATGGTTTTGTATGCTACTGTTTCATAATTTATATAATCACAAGAAGTATCGCTTATACCAGCAACAATGTAAAAAAAGTAGGAAAATGTCAAACTTTTAATTAGTCTATGCACTGATATTTTTTTAACAGACATGACATGCATAAATTAAAATTTGCAATGCACATTAACATTGACATGAAATTCACTAGTAGGGTGTGTGGCTGCTGTTGAAAGCAATACAAGCTGTACAATGCATCATGTGCACAAGGTTGTAGATACTGTACTTGTGGGATTCTGTTCCATTAGTGTCAAGTCTTGACAATCATGTGCCTTTTTTCTGGTCTGCATTCATAAGATACCATACTGTATGTCAACCCATCTCATTTAAGAAATGGTCAAGGGATCAAATCGGATAAGCAGGGCATCTATGGTAAAACTAAGACGTTCCCATCCTGCTACGAAGCCAATGGATGGAGGTGTGTATTGTTGTATTGGAGTGTGTTCATGTCAGGGGGCAGCAGGTGAAGGCCCAGGGCCTGATCAATGTACTGTAGCACCAGGCAATCAGATTGTCACCCATCGCTACAGGTGAAGTCTGGAGCAAATTGACACTCCTGCCCATGTCATCATCCCTGGCCCCCTGTCATGTATTCTTGGGAAATAAGTTTGTGTAATACTACAGTACAGTCAAAAAATGCCCATGCAACTACACTATTATTAGTATATTAGTACTGATTATTTTGTTGCATAATTTTGATTTATTTATTCATGACTGACCATTGTACAGTAGAGTTACACTTTGTGGCATAAGCACAGAATCACCTTTAAGTGATTATGTAGTGAGAGAGTTGTCACAAATAATTAGATGTTTTTAACCCGTTGAATGTGAACCTTGGTGATAAGAAAAAAAAAGAATGTCTTCATGCCATCAGTATGCTTCAGGCTGGACGGAGTTAGGACACTGGGGAGTTCAAGCACAGCAATTTCTAGCCTGGCAAGATGTTACAACAAAACATAACCTGACAATGACACACAATCAAGGAAACCAGGAATCACAGCCCCTTACCAAGATCCAGGAATATCTTGCATGTGGACACTGACTGTTCAACATTGACCAAGTCCTGCTTCACGTTCTTGTGTTCTTATCGTGACAAAACAATATTCCAGCAGAACAACAAGTGCCTGTGTAACAATGTTTTTCTTGCAAGATGAGAATGTGATAGTTATGCCACTTATACCAGACCTGAGCCCCCCCTAAATATTTATGAGCTGAACCAGGGTCAAATCTAACATGTGGGGCTCAGAGACCAGTGAACAGACACATGTGTACCCAGCCTATGTGAGAAGAATAGGACAGAAACCCATTAGATAATATCTGCAATCTGGTGCAGAACACGTGTCCATATGTACAGCTTACATTGTGACCAATAGTGGAGACACACGCTACTAGCCTGTGACATTCACAGCAGACTCCCCTTTTCTTTAACGTGTTTAATGACAAATGTGGATCAGCAAAATGTTATGCCTCTTTAATATGTCAGTGCACTTCCTACAAAAATAGTTTTATTTTTCTGATTAATTTACTACATTTGTTATTGTTGTGGTTACAAGATTCTTTTGATGCTCAATATATATTCAATCTATGAATATGCTTTAAACATCTTATTAGGTTTTTTCCTACCTGGTCTTCAATAAATTAATGAATGAAAATAAGTGCACTTAGCTGGTGCAGGCCATTAAAAAAAACTGGATGACTACAGCATCAGGCAGAGAGAGAAAATGTCCAAGTTGTTTTTATTTATTTTAAAATGACACAAAATAATTCTGTGCATGACGTTTTGAAACATTAATAAAATCATTGTCAAAAATAACAAAATGTTTTTTTTAACTATTTTTCGAAATGAAGTGATGGAAATATGAATCATAATTTATAGAAGAAGACTCTGAGACCAGCTCATGGTAACCCCTTATTAGCTAAATTTTTATTTGAGCTCATCTCCACATTTCATTGCCTGTAAGTTTTCATTGCAGATATTGTTGTGCATCATTTTCTGAATAGCTCTGTAAGCATGCCTCCATTATTCATTTTAAGTACAGCTGTAGAAACAATTATTAAAATGTCACTGAACAATAAAATGTTGAGGCTGCAAATCAGTTCGCTATTTATTTCTCTAAAAGAACTATCTATCATGCTGATATGAATGTGTTTTGGTTCAATATATTTCTTGGGTACTGTAATGTTCTAAGTGGTAGTGTTTTGTGATTAGCTTTCAAAGTATTCAGGAACACGATTGAATTGAGAAGTTTGTCCAAGGTGGAATGGATTGGAACAAAAGCCTTTACACCTTGTAATTCAAGTTTTAATGCAGAACACAAAAAAATATTTCATTTTGCTATTTTAAAAGTGCCGGTTTAGGTGCATACTCCCGTGTCTTCTTTCTCTCAAAAAAAGAAACATTCCTAAATTTTAATCCCACTATCCCTTCAGTCTTAAACAAATTGTAAACTACAAGAGAGTTTGACCAGATTGAAAAAGAAAAATGGAGCAAAATAATTATGTGCAAACTTGTTCATAATTGAAGGATGTTTCCTGTAAAATCACATGAGCTATTTAAATTTGTATCAGAACAGACAGATGTTAAAAAACACTGCAAGCCTTACCTTTTCCTGATTCTTCTTTTTTGTCTGCTGCCAATGTGATTCACAATATTTGTACCTTTATTATGCAGTAAGCTGTAAAACAGAGGTGGAAGTGAAGGTTCAATACTAGTCTAAATTCAATAGTTTGAAATCATTTTGAACAAGAAATATACCACAAGTAAAATAAGTAATATGTAGTTCAGGTGGGTAGCTGCGTCAGCATGCATAGGCTGCAAAGGAACAAGTAATAGGTTTATTCCGTGCTGAAAAAAAGAAGAAAGAGAACACAACGTTTCGGCCGTGGAGCCTTCTTGCTCACACCTGAAGAAGGCTCCACGGCCGAAACGTTGTGTTCTCTTTCTTCTTTTTTTCAGCATGGAATAAACCTATAACTTGTTCCAAATAAGTAATATGTCTAACAAAACAAATTTCATACTATTTTTTTCAGAACATGAGTTGCTTTTGACATGGCTATATTTACATTCAACTTAAAGGTAATTTGACTATTTTCAGTACCTTCTAATCTTCCATTTTGATTTTAATCACTGATCCTCCATTTTGATAACTCCAAACAATGGAAAAAATGCTATAATGCACCCATTCTAGTCCCAATGTCTCTAAAGTAATACATATAGATAGGCAAGAGGCTTTTAGGATTGTATTCTGAACATGGCAGGAACATGGTCAGAGTTAAATTTAAACTATACATTAAAAAGCATTCACATCATACTCATTAAATCCTGTGATTTTTCAATTTCTCCTAGAATAATCTATAATTCAAAAACAAAGAAAACAATACCTTCCTTCATATACAGTATGGCTTTATAAGTGTCACAAACTAAAATGGGGATGCATTGTTAAAAAGCAATTTAAATTTTTTTTGGTACATAATACGGTACCTTCAAGATATTATTTAGAGGTTATTTTAATTCTTAACTAAATCAAAGATGCTGTGTAAAATGCAGGTATTAAATCACAAATGTGTATTTACATATTAGGAGAACTGCTTTAAAAATGGTCAAATTTTAAAATACGCAGCTATTATTAAGAAACATAAACAACTGTATTTATACATCACAATACTAACATCTCACAGATAACTTAAAACAAAATACTAATTGCGAAATTCAGAAAAAGTGTAATGTCCCTTCATCTTTGTAAATATTCAGAAACAACACCTAGTGTACCACACGCAGTAATGCATCAGGTATTGTCAGAATATTGAGCAAACAAATTGATTCATTTTCTAAAAATTTTAAAGCATGGTCCTTTAGTGTAAAACTAAAGATGTTGAAAGAACCATAGAACGTTGATAAGATGAGAAGAGGCTATTTAATTTTTAATAGCTAACTGGTCCAAGGTTCAGAAACAGACATTAAATTGTACTGTGTTACCAATCCTAGAAGCCAAATTCATGTACATTTTTAAAACCAAGGTTTTGCTTTCCCGTATTAAGTTTGTTTCATCTCTGCAGCGCACATTGAAACTAATGGGAAAATGAAACTTCCTCAGATCGGCATACTTAGAAGCATTCTGTTTCTGCCTGGTGAATCTATGAAGTTGTCAAGAGACTACACTCAACCACAGGGACCTTTAGATGCAGTTGAAGACAAACGCAAACCAATCACATTCCTGATTAAGTCCTGAGAGCACTGATTGCAGTGTAATATGTTTAGTGCTCCTCAGTCCAGCAAATCTGTGTAGTGGAGGCACACGTTGGCACATTCTCAAAAAAATCAATTACAGAGTTAACAACAGTTTACAGAACTGGGATAGATCAGCTAGGGATTTAAACAGCAAATCCAGAAACAACAAAAGAAATAACAGACACATTAACTCAGTTGCGTGTATTCTTAGTTCTTCTTCCAAATGAAGCAGTCAAAGAGACACAAAGACCATACAATGAGATTTTATAGTTTACTGAAAAAAAAAATCCAGTCAAAGCCAAAGTAAGATGCCAAGCAGGTTAGTTTACACAGACGTGTGTCAAAGTCACAGAGCTTGGTCTGGGTAATCTCAGATCTGGCCTTAGCCTTCATAATTACTGACGAAACAAAACACTCCTCCTGTCTGAGGGTTAGGGTTAGGACAGAAAATAAAACATTGGAACTCATTTGACACCAACACGATTTAAAGTTCTTTCAAATTCCAGGTGAAAGAAAAGAGAATATGGGGAAAGATGAGAGTACAGAGAGTGGCAGCTGATAACCCATTCGGATACACTGAAATTCTTACTAGACCACAATATAAACAGGGGAGAGTAATGTTTTCTACAGTATTCTAGTTTTAGGACGTCCCTTGTGCAGGTGTTAAAAATATTTAAAAGAAAAAGAAAAAGAAATACACAGTGTTGAAAGTTGTGGGCTAAAGCAGCAAGCTTCACTTCAGCCATGGCTGCAAAAACTACAACAGTGCCTACTTTTATTAAAAATTATTTCAATCTTAAACTCTAATACAGTTGCTTTAATGAAAAAATAAAACTTTCTTTTTTTTAAATCAGCTTAAATGTTAATAGGCTTTAAAATAGAAACGTACAATCAACATATACAGTAGTTAGCAGACTACAGACAGCAAGAACTGTGACTATTGTAAGAATGGTTTAGTTTTATTCTCAATTGGTGGGTACAAAAACCACAACTTAGTAATACACAGAACTAGATAATTAATATCTGTAACATGTCCAGCTTGCAACCTGTGCTTGGCTGTGTGGTGAAGATGTGTGTTGTTTGCATTAACATTCAGTGTGGAGTGAGACAGATGTAAGCTGTGGAACATTAAATGTAACAGAGGAAATGACACAGCAAACATGATGATGTCCATGTTCTTTTATATATAGATATATATAAAAAAAGATTCTCTCATATTTTTAATTACAGTGACCTCATCTTATATCCATTATTGCAATGAATTATTTCCTAAGATGGTTATAAAAGAGAAATGTGTTCACTACTGAGTTATTTACATCAGTTAAAAAGCAAGCATGTTTTACAGTATCTTCGCTCTTTTTAAAAGACAATGTAAATAATTTCTTTAGTTTTTTTTCACAGAATGTACATATTTATTTTTCCTCACATCACAGTATAGTGATTATTTCTTTATTATTAATATTAATATTATTTTAATCCCAGCACAACCGGGCATCAGTACCCATGTCAAGTTATGGATATTCGGTGAGTTGTAGGCTAATATGTTCATTGAACCTCTGCGTTGTTTTGTCAAGACTAAAGCCAGGTGTTTTAACAAGCATGTTCATTTTTTTTTTCCCCACACAGTTAATGGCAAAATGCTTATAAGCACAGTTTGTGTTTCGAGTACAGTTTTCTGGTCGTTGTTTTTTTCTTCCTTCCGCCAGTTAATGGTTTTGTCCTGATATAAGGTCTGAATCTTGGCGTCCTGAGCGGAGCTCATGCATTGAGTTCCCGAGAGTGTCATCTGTGGTGAAGTGCTTCTCCTGGCTGTAATACAGCGGTGAACCCAACGTCCATTTTTCTGCTGTTGTCGGTCTGTGCTGTGTTCCCATTAGCCACCCACATTGCATCGTTTTTCTTGCTCCTAATTTATATTTATACGTTCATTTATTGTTTTTTTTTTGTTCTGTGATAAGGCACTAGATTATTTTTGGTTTTCATTGATACTCCGAGGAAACCACAGCCAGTCCTGAACTTTGTCTTTGGGAGGGTCCTGTGTGAACAGCCTTGGGGCAGTCCGGGGTCAGCACTCGGCCATTTTCTCCCACGCTCCCCGTGATAGATAGCCTGGCCTTATTTCGCATGGCTTCAGTGAAGGTTAGCTAGGGTGGAAGGGAAGCCAGGGGTGGAGGGGGATAGGAGAGGACAGGGATGGGTGGGGGTAGAAAGAGCAAAAAAAAATCAAATTAGTTTTCATACGATCTCCTGGAAAGAAACACTTAACATAAATAAGAGAAGGCAGGCAACAACAAACACCAAAAACAAACAAAAAAAACATATATTTTAGACATCTGCATTCCTAAAGTTCATGCCATTCTGTTAAAACAAAAATAACGACACAAAACATGACATTTATTTGACAGGTGTTTCCTCAAGAAAGGTTATAATTTACCTCACCAGACCTGAGGCTTTCAAACTGTATTTATCAATATGCCCTAGAACTGATACATGTTATTGCCTTTTTACTGTTTGTGGGATATATTACGCTTACCTGAAGAGGTTCTGTAACTACAATATTAGTGGAGCTCAAATTTTACTGAATGTTTATTATGACAGTAGACATAGCATGCAATTCAGGCTGAAGACAGAAATTCTAATTCTTACGACAACCTCAGACTTAAACTTTTTATTTTGTACTACATTATTACATGTATATCTCTGGTATTAATGAAGAAATCTTATAAATCTTATAAATTGAAGGAGCTGTTTGAAACGGATGACATCAGATGTATCTATTGATTTGATTATTTTTTGCTCTTTTATTTCTTTTCTCCAGAAATCAATGAGCCACTTTTTTTTAATGGAAATATAAAAACTATGCAATGCAGGTGCCTATTAGTAATAGTAAAGAGCATACACATCATCTGCAGCCAGACAACGGAACCAAAGTTGCATTCTGCAAGTCTCCTCCAGAGAGCTCTGGAGGAAAGCAATTTAAAACAAAAAAAATCTAAAACTTAAAAATAAGAAGCTTTTACCACTACTCACAAGGTCACAACACTATGCATTACGATAAATGCATCACCCCACTTACTATAGGAGACCCTAAATCCTACCCCTATATTTTAACACTCTCGGTTCCATATACGTTGTAACCTTCTCTATAAGTGGCTAAATTCTGGGTACTCTGCGAAGGACTGGGACTAAAATTCTGTGCATTCGGTTCCACCTTCATTCTCTTGGCTTCTGCTCTGGACTTGTAACAGAACTCTATCAGAGCCACCAGCATGGCCAAGCCCAGACCTCCAACCAGAATGTAGAAGACGCCAGCCACGTTACTGAGGCTTAGAGCACTTGTCTTGTCCTATAGAAACAGGGATGCAACCAATTAGTAGTGCCAGCAATAGCTGAGTGAGAGCATGATAAAAACAAAGACCATGATATACAGCCTGTGCTAGTTTACAGTAAAACTGAGAAAAAGCTTATCATTTAACAATTGGCCCTGTCTGCTACCACGACTATAATACTTCTATAAACAAAACAAACATTATTTACAACCCTGAATGATGTAACCATCATTACAACTTCTGCTTAGTACAATACCTGCACTTTCTGTATTAACACTGATTAAAGAGAGAGTAATATGAGTAATATGTTTGTGGGCTTTGTTAAGACTGTCAGACAGTGTTCTAGCCCTCTGTGTTTAGACAGTGAAATAACCACTCTTTACATTCCTTTAAAAATGAATCTAACTATTGAATCAATGCTATAGAAGTTTAGTCAACTATAATAATTTTACATATGCCCATTTACCAATGTACATTTACCCTACATAATAAAACATAAAAGCATGATTTATTCTACAAATAGGACACATTTTATATAACATATTATGAGAAATGTATGAGATATTACAAAGAATATTACAAGAAATTAACAATGCTACTAGCACAGTATATACTCCATATGTACTATATCACCGTAGATAACTATTTCGAAACACTGTACTTAAAAAATACTTTTAACTGTGTAATGTGTCTGCTTGGTGAGTCTGGCTTTTAAAGTAATTGTGCTGCTAGATTTTCACTTAATAATGGCCTGTTTTACATACCTGAGGTGAAAAAATTGTGATGATAACAGTGTAAGAGGTCTCAAATGTTATTTTCATGAGTGTAAGGAATTACAGTAAGTGAATGCATTAATTGTACTTTATACCTACTCTGTATATTTGATTTATGTGTAAATGGTGCATGCCTTGTGATATCCCTGCTGTATATCTTAATCTCTCAAAACTGCACCTATGTATTCCCTTAACTGGTTTGTGCATTACAACAGTAGGTCCCAAACTGCAGCGACTGACCTTACTTCCAGAGTCCTTGGGTCCACATTCCCCTTTATCGTACCACCATTTGTTTTTCAGCTTGTCTAAGACTCCTGATTCACTGAGTTTCAAAACGGCAAGGTTTACGGGAGTTCTTCACGTGGAAAATAACATAAATAACATTATATATGTTATTTTATGTTATTCAATTAAAACTACATAGAATAGTACTGCAAAGTGACAGAGCAGAGGCCCCACGGAGTACATGTCTGTATGCAGATGGGCCTAGGTTATATTTACAGACATATGAATGGGACCTGCTCCATCGCTTTAGGTAACGGGCACATACTGCTGTGGCCTATTTTGGAAGAAATGTAGGCAATTACTGTGAACCCAAAATTATTCGCAAAACATTGAATGACAAACACATACAGTAACTGAATAGTTAAATAAAGGTTTTAATGCTTAACCCATTTGATGAATACCCTCAGGAGTAGGCTATTTGAAAGCAAAACTGATTACATTTCACCCCCTACCTAAAATAAAGGTATTTATTCATCTTTTAAAATTCCAAAGTGCCGAGGAAAGTGGCAACAATTACGGCGAATACTTTTGCTTTGACAGTAATTGCTCTACTTTATGGTTTGAAAGTCTTGGGGTCTAACACCGTGAGACTGGTTCTTGTGTGGCGCCACAGCAGATGCACCAATTACTCTAGATACTGTTTACCCGCACTTGGTGACATTGAGGCTAACCTTGGAGTCACCTCCTCCGCTGCCACATTCTCCTTTGTCGTACCACCATTTGTTTTTCAATTTGTCCAACAGGCCTTGTTCATTCAGTTTTAATACTGCGAGGTTAACAGCATTTCTTGAAACGATAAAACATATTTGTCAGAAAATGAACAGCCATTAAGGATATAGAAAGGACATGGGTGGAAAGCTCTGTTAGTCTGCCTCACTCGAAATAAACCCCTCTTTTGTGCTGAAGTCTTGACATTTGGTCAACTGTTTACTTTTGTTTCTGCTCTCTGAACAAGACATCCAAGGTTCATCTGCAGTTGTCCAGCCCTTGTTTCAAGATGAAAACAATCAAATAATTAAATAATAAAAGTTGCTTTTTTTGATCTTGGAAGTGTGCTTTAAATTGAATAGAAATTCACAACATGATCTGTACAGCTCTAATACTATGGACTTCTTACAGATAATTGGGCAATCTTAAACCTGATGATATTCTGGAATGCATCCAAGAGAAATGCACAAGAAGAGGATTATTACTTGTAGAGAAGTCAATTGAGGCAGTTTATGAGAAAGATATTTATCTAGAAAAAAACAATATATCAGGACTGGCAAACTGAAGAATAGTCACAGTATGTCAGGATTCCAAAGATGATACAGTAAATTGCTGAATAGTTTTATAATTATGAAAATGAAAAATTAATTATAATAAATTAATAAAATATAAAAAATAAATAAATAATATTAAACCCTCTGATCTATTTTAAGCATTACCTTTCTTATAAAATAGTTAAACGTTTACTGAAACTGAATTACTAGAGAGCCTCAGAAGATATAGCTGACTCAAATCTTTAAGTTTAAAGCACAGGTAAGACACTAAAGCCAAATGGCTAGAATATAATGTATAGTATTACAGAAAGTTTAAGACAAAATCAAAATATCAAAATCTATTATGCATTTCTGCAAATCTTATTTGGTTACCTTTACGCACACAGCTGGGGGTAAGAGGAAAAACAGCATAAAGTACTGCAGCTGAAAACTAGCCTTAATGAAACCTCTTAATAAAACACATTACTGTATATCAAGAAAGACTGTTCTTAATAAATACTCTTACATGCAGCAAAGTAACAACGTCCAAATTATACAGTAAATGTTAACATCACCAATTCAATTATTGAATATTGTTTCTTTTTTAGAAACAATATGTATAGTGTAATATTTCCCTCTAAAAAATAAAGCTTGTTTTCCAATGCCTTATCTGCATGAAAGAAATAGTGAGCCTGTTTTAGTATAAACCAATGTTCTACTCTTTGGGTTTTAAGCAGGAGCTGTATAATAGTCATCTCCAGAAACACCAGGAGACAGATATCCTTCTTTAATACAAGGCCTTCGCCAACCTGTGTCAAGAAAGTATAAACACAAACAGTTAGCTCTGTGACATAACGACATCACTGGTTCTGAATTGAAAAATCAAAGTTAGATCCTTTCCTTTTATACTTTTCAACTACACTTCTAAAATAAAATGTACCCAACAAAAAATGGCTACCAACAATGTTTGCTTGACACAAGGCCATAATCTTATTGTCCCTGTTACTCTTATTTCTTCTCAGAAGACATGGTACTGTATGTCTGCTTTTCAGTGTATTTTTGTACCTCTCTGTTAATCTGCTATATAATAATATTTTACTCTTTAACAGTGTGCAGTGATATTGAACACACAGGCCTCAATAATTACGGGCAGATAACACGCAATTAGAAATACCGCTTAGTCGGTAAATTACATACTCTGACAGTCACAAGAAAACAAAACCTTTGGATCCATTGGCTCCAGCCACAAGCTGATCAATGTATAGATGGCTTAACTGGAGGAGACAAAGAAGGCTACTTATAATCTGATGGAATGACAGAATTAGTAAAAAAGAATTCACTTTACGCATAAGATTACATACAAATATCCTTAATGCCTCATTTGTCTATCTGATGCACATAGAATTGAAAAACATTAAGCTATTGATCTAAATAATAATAGTTGGAATACTCCAGTAAAACAAAAGTGCAGAATGTAGTACTCACAAAAACGGCTTAGTGCAATTAGATAAGCGTTTCTGACAGTACTACAGGCCAACTGCTATTGTGTTTTTTCTAATTAAATGAAAATTGCATACTGTATATGTATGTAAATATATAAACAGGGACATGGCATAATGGAATAGATGCCCAAGCCCAGAAAGATTACCCTTTTTTTCTGAAACCACAGAAAGTGTTTAACTGTGTTCCATTAAGCAAATGGCAGCACCATAAAGTATTAACCTCATTTATAATGAGTGCTAAGCCAATATTAACTGGTGTTCTTACTAAACTCAAACATGTGTTTATTAATATCTAGTCTCTGTATATTTACATGAAGATGAAAAAAGAAAAATTAAATTAATTGCAATTCACCCTAAAATATATAGTGGTTTTCAGATACTCTTTATACAAAAGGAAATCATTGAGAATAATAGTCAGAAAACATTCCACTGCAATGAATAAAAGGCGAAAATCTGCTCTGAGACATACTGTCACTCTGCACTTTTGAAATACTTGAGAACATATAAGGATTCATCCATTTTTGCTTGAGATTCCAGTAAAGGTATACACAAGAAAAAGAAACACAAACCACAAGAAGATATCTGTTTTTTAAAAACCTTTCAAATTTTGGTCCAAATCACTGCTCAGTACTTTCATACACTGGGTTCAAGAGAGGGTTATTTAGAGTGAATTGCAAGCCATGTCAAAATTAATTTTGCAACAACATCAAAAACAGAAAAAAAGGAACACCACCCTAAAGCTGAAAAAAAAAAAAAACTTTCCAAATCACTAAATTTCAGCAGTGATGCCTGGCTATGTAACATAACAGCCCAGTATAACACCTAAGACTTAAGTCCTCAAAAATGATTTTCCTGTGATTAAGAGAAGTGATTGACAGGAGACTATAATTCCAGAAATTGAAGGCTTCAGGAAACTATTGTCCACTGTCACTTTTCTTCTAAAAGTGAAAAATCCTTTTCATGGTAAAATTTGCAAGGCAGACCTTCATTGAATTATAATGCTGCTTGTCCTTTCAAAGAGTGAAGAAGAAATGTATAAATAGGAGGCTCTTCATGACTCACTATGTTATAGCCGATTAAAGACACAGAAGACCAAATTGCTAGAAATGATACAGGAAATTTCTTTAATCTCTATGGGACCTGTCAATTTCAGATCAAGAACTGTTCTTTATACAAAGTGTAGTGTACTGTATATTGATATCCCACTGATATGACTAACAGAAACCATTTTAATGCACTGAAAGGCACCATTGCTCCGTATTGAATCCTATAATCTTGACTGCCATATTTTTACTTGAAAAAACCAAGAAGCCTTTACAGTATATCTTATATTTACATTTTGTGACACATTATCGTTACGTTTCTGTAACATTCTGTCTCTAATCAAATTATTTCCCTAATCAAGTCAGATTGTAGGGCACCATAATTTAAAAATTCAATGCCGTTTAAGAATGCAATATTGCTTTAAATATCCCTCCATATGATTTGGTTAGATGTCTAACAAGCCTTTTTGTTGACTTTATTATAACATCCCTCTATCCACTGCTTCTTCGGATACAGAGTCACAGAGTAGCCAGAGCCCATCCTGGCAAACAACAGACAGAAGGGAGGATGCACTCTGGACAGGATGTCAGTCCATCACAGAACACACACAGATGTTTTAAATATGAGTTTTACAATTTAGAGTCATTTTAAGGAAAGGCATGTATAATCTCTATTTTCTAACTTGATTGGCAAGTTAAGATTCTACATTATTTGGTTGTAACATCATCACTGTGTTAAAAACTCCAGTAGAAAATGTAGGAAACTCTAAAAATGCTACTCATGGGAGGTAAAGGGAAGCTAAAATGTGCCATACAGAAGCTGAAATGACCGCAAGAAACAGAATGTTAGCCTCCAAAGCACTATTGTCCCCACTTTTATTCCTTCTTTCATCTATTTTAGATGAGATTTACTGCTTTTATTTCGGATTTCTATCCTCAACAAGAAAAAAAACAACAACCTTTCGATGTCACTCCTTGATGTCTGTAAATTGCAGTGGAAATAAGACCTAATTTGTCAGAAAACACATCTTCCAGTGTTACACTATGCTGTTTTTTTACAAGGCCATGAGATACTCAATGCAGAACGCAATTTTTGATGTTTATAATTCATTTTAGTGAAAAGATGGTTACCTGCTTTCTGTGAGTCTAAAAGAAGTAATAAACAAGGCACATACCATGTTTTAAAACTCACAACACAAAAGAGCAGTAAAAGGCACATCAGGGAAGGTGGAACACTATAACAACATGTGATATATTGTTATACTATTCCACCTACCTTAATTGAGAACCCTTGGGTGTAGCCACTCCATAGCCTTTGGAATCCAGGTTGCCTCCCACTTTCATGGTGTCGCAGGGTTTCCTCTGTTCGATATATTCATTCATGGTCGATTCCAATAGGAAAGCAAACTTTCCCTTGGACTTCCGCACACGCGCAACTCCCTCTGCTGTGGTTTTGGTAAAAACTGACGGTTCTGCTGATTTCATGTAAGTCCACATCTTTTCATATACTGCTATTTTTGATCTCTGCAGGAAAAAAAAAGCATATGATTTTATCTTTATCCATGCCACAAAACCCGTCTTTGTGCTCAGCCCCAGCAAAACCTAATTTTAACACTACTGTCCGTGTTGCTCCTATCAACATTACTATTTATTATTTTCTTTTGGCTATTTTTTTTACATCAGGATCACTTCGTCTATATATTACATTGAATGAAAATAGGAGCCAGTCGAAATCTCAGGTGATCCTGAGCTGAAAAACCACTGTACAAAAATAAAACCCAGTAGCTCTCCAGAACTCATTGCGAAATTAATTCAAAATTGGACTAAAGAGGACTAGATTGGAAAAACAGGGTATAGTTATTTAATCCTTGCAAAGTCCTTCTGCTTCGTAGCTTAGAGATATCACACACATATTGAAATGTGATGGCTTTCATAAATATAACTGGAGTAATTGAATTTCTTGGATAAGAGGCCTTTGGAATGTACTTTTCAGTATGGAAAATACATGTGATATATATTATGTATATGCAGCTGATTACCTTTTTTTAATAACTTTGAATTTGAAATGTATTTTTTAATCCTACTCTACATTAAAACTAGAAATTGTTGGACAAGAAAGCTGTTCTACCCTCACTGTTAAGATAAAAAGTAGTTTCTTTTACTGGAACTACTCAGCAAACAAAGATGGCAGGACCAGAAGACTAGTTCCTAAACATAAAATATTACTTTTATACCACTTTCAGGTTTTAAAACTCACTGGGTTTTAACAAACTCCTGGCAGAACTGTATTAATTTCAGTGGAAGAAGCAGAAACATTAAATGCATAATAGCAGACAGGAAACTACTCAGAGCCAAAGATACCCTCCGCTGGTGGACTTTGCTGATATTTTCTGACACCCACGGTGGTTTCTACTGGGCAATTTGGAAGAGGTACGTGTTAACCAGTGCACAGGAACTGTACTTACTCTAAAAAACTCTTTAGTCGATCCAGAATCCAGCGTTCCATAAGCAATCTCAGTCTGCTTGGCAAGGTCCTCCGCACTCTCAATTGGAGAGACCATTCTCTCAACGGTAAGGAAGGCCGCAAGGTTAGCCGTATAAGAGGAAATTATAATCAATGTGAAGAACCACCACACACCTCCAACGATGCGACCTGAGAGAGACCTAAATGTAGCGGGGGGGGGGGGGGGGGGGGAGGAAAAAAAGAAAAGACTGAGTTCTTGCATC